AGAACAGGAAGCCAAGAACAGAGACATGAAGTTGCAGGGGATCCTGAGCCCATGCCCTGGTTGTGGGGGCCTATTTAGTGTCCTCTCTACTGGCAGTCCTGATACTTGAGGATGAGTGTGTGTTTTCTGAGTGCTTAGTAAGCGTGAGGGCCTGGACACAGCACGCCTTCAGGAGCTGGTAGTCTTGTTGGGATGTAAGCCTCACACTGTGTTTTCAACCTCTTGGTGTTCCCTGAGGACAGCTTCTGAGAGCTGGGCGCTGGGGTGAGACAGTGGAGACATGGTCCATCTCTACCCACTGGGCAAAAATTAACAGAATCATCTATAACTTGCTACAGGCACTAGGGGAGCAGCAAGCTTAGCAGGGCTTTTGGGAACAAGAGGATCTTGTATTTACATATAGTAACTTTGAAATGGTCAAGTAGAAATTAAAGCCTGCTTAGTCTCCCTCCACTCCTCACAGCACATCCTTCATACATACTGCTACCTGCCCTTCTGCAGCCACACTGCTCCATCTGCACAAGCAGTTTCCCCCCTCCTGGAAATGCTGTCCTCCTCCTCCTCATCTTGGCTGCAGCTGCAAGACTCCATCCATCTCCTTTCTGCTCCCACTCCCAGAGGAGACTCTGCCACTCCACTCCCTTCCCCACCCCTCCCAGCCCCGCCACCCAGGCTCCTCCTGAACTTCAAAATCATTACTGCAACTCTTAGTTCTTTTCCCCACTGACCAACTCCTTTTGAGGACATGGGCCATAAGTTATCATTTTTACCTCCCTAATGCCTAGCTTAGGGCATCACACATGGTGGGTGCCCAGTAAAAGTTCGTTGAATGGAATAAAAAAGGGAAGAATGAAGGAACAAATAACCCTAAGTTCCCAGCCCAGGCTCATCAGGTGGCCATGTGGACATTACTCATCATGCAGCTCAGAGGAAGGAGACACACTTCCGGCTCCATGTGGTCGAGGAGAGGGGAAATGTGAAGGTGTGAACACTTGGAGAGGGTGCAGTGTCATGTCTCAGATGAAAGGAGCAGATGTCAAGGCTGTTCCAGAGACGGAAGGCGGAGCAGTTGTGCTGACGTAGCACATTCATGGGAAACAGCGAGAGATGAAAGGCAGGCTGCTGAAGGCTGACTGTACCTATCCTTGAATGCCAGAAGTTCTTTATCTCCGAGACGCTGAAGGATTTTGAGCAGGGGAACCACAGAATCAAAGTGGCTGATTTAACAGAACTTTGATTTGTGCACAGGAAGGTGCAGGTTTTTGGTGAAGCAGATGTGTATTTATTGAGCTTTTATACACATGCTGCTTCTAGCACATGCTAGGCACAGTACTGATCACCTAGGAAAGACAGGAGAAACTGTCCCTGCCCTCAAGTCATTCATGTTAGCAAGGAAGGCAAGACAATAAAGCACTGCTGGGGTGCTGTGGAGAGGCTATTTAAGGGAAGGTTTCCCAAAAGTTAGATACCCGAACTGCATCTTCAAAGAAGATCTGGGGTAACCAGGTGAGGAAGGTGGCATGGGAAAGGCACATTCCCAAGTAAGTGGTGTGTACCAAGTCAGAGAAGTTTGGGAGGCAAACTAACAAATCATCAATAGTTCAGGGTGGCTGGAGAGAGGGGGACAGACCTCATAAGACTCTGGGCGCCACACTGAGGAGTTTGAATCTTACCCTAAAAACAAGGATGAGCTGTTGAAGTGTTTTGATTGAGAGCGATCTGGTTGGATTTTTGTTTTAGAACAATTGCTTGGCTGCCTGCAGAGAATAAGTTGAAGGGGGTAAGGTTGGTGTTTTGGAACCAATCTGGGAGGCAGTTGTTATAACCCAGAGAGGATGACAAGTGTCTGAGCTCAGACAGGGATAGAGCAAGGGATAGACTCGAGGTGTTTAGGAGGTAGAATCCTTAGATTTGGCTGACCCAGTGGAAGGAGAGGAGCAGGGAGGGGGAGAAATGATGGATGACTTCTGTCTGCCTTATGGTAGATGCAATTCAGTGACCTGGGTTAAAGAACAGATTTGGAAAAAGAAAAAGAGTTAATGGTGGATAATCAATTCATTTTCAGTTCCTGAGGAATATTCAAATGAGGTGGTAAGTGGTTAGTTAAGTCTGGAGCTCAGGAGAGAGGCCTGGGATAAGATGGCAACCTAGGAATTAATTAGAACTATAGGAAGGAATGAGATCTCCCAAGGAGGTTTTGTTGACTGAGAAGGGCTAAGGATAGAACCTTTGGGAAACCACCTTTGATGCTGAGGAATAGGAAATCATGGAAGAAACTAGAAAGGAATAGTAAGAGATGGAAGGAAAATCATGAGAGTGTGGACTCTGCAAATAGGAGTGTCCAGAAAGGGATCAGTTGTGTCTAGTACCACAATCAAGTCAGGTCAGGCAAGGATTGAGTCGTAGCCTTCAGACTTAGCAAAAAGGAGGTCATTGGTGACCTTAACATGTTCACTCTCAGTGCCTACAGAGAAGAGGATGTAGTTTAATTGGACAAAGAAGCAAACAGCAGGTGAAGAGGCTTCTTGACAGTGCGGAGGAAGTGCTAAGGGCCTGTCCATGAGCAGAAAGATGTTTCAGGTGAGGAAGCCAAGAGAAGATAGAGAAGCTGCTCCATGGCTGTGGGAAGAGCTGAGTTCAGCACCCACCCTGCTCTGCTGTGCACTCATGTGCAAAGCAGCTCCCGTTTCCTCGTCTGTGAAATGGGGATGCATGGCACAGTCTGAGAGGCCATGGCACCATGCGTGGTACCCAGCAGGTGCACAGAGGAGTCAGGAAGAAAAGTTAGAGTTGCCTTGTCAGTGATTGGTGTGGGGGTCAGGATTAGAGAAGAGTCAGAGACAGCACCCGTCAGAAGCCTAGGAGAGTAGTGTGTCCTTCACAGAGAAGAGGGGGTGAAAGGGAGGAGATGAACTATCATGTGAAACGTACCTCAAATAGTGTTCACCATATTACCCTAGGAAAGAGAAGAATGTTTTCCCCGGGATATTGTAGACCTTATTTTGTGGAGAAAATAAAAGATTTTTATTTGGGGCACAATTGGGTGGGGATCAAAATTTTCCCACCATTTTACTCAGTTATATAGAAACATCAAAGGAGAGATTCTCCTGAGGTCATTCCTGTCAGTTGTCACTTTATGTCTTGGGACTCTGTAGTTACATATTCTGAAACTATAAAGTCCTTGTTTATCTGTGCACCTGGTGGGACATTTTGAGAAACTCTAACCCCATAAAACTGGTCATTCATAGTCTTCCTCTCTGTATTATGTTTACTTACTTTTGTGGCATTTAAATCATGTTCAATTCTTAAAGTTGAGAGTTTTGAAAAATTTTTAGATTGGTACCCTTCCTTAATATGTTGCTTAAATGTCTTTGAAGAAGTGATTTATTATTTGTTTTTACAGATAATCAGACAGGCAAACATAAAGACAGGAGAAAAGGCTCACTAGACGTCAAAGCTGTTGCCTCCCGTGCAACTGAAGGTGAGTGCAAAGACAAGAAAATGTGATCAGATCACTGTTGAACACTTAGAGGCCTGCCCTGCCCTGCCCTGCCCCGCCCTGCCCCGCCCTGCCCAGGCTCATCCTGTCTACCTCCAGTTCTTGGGAGAGGAGGAAACCCTCTGGAAACTAGTGTTTCATTTCTCTCTGTGGACTCCTGCCAGTGGGCTCCATTCTGAGCCTTTTTAATGGAATCAGAAAATAAAAGGAAAAGATACATTTCCCATGTAGTCTATAGTTGCTTTTCTAAACTGTAACAGCAGAAGATGTCAGTTCATCTGCCAAAGTTGTATGCATTTGGTAATTCTTAAAGATCTATCTCATGCAGGTTGCAGTTTGCCATGGAAACTGTTAGATAGGGGTGAGCTTGATTTTGGAATTGTGAAAACCCTTATTCAGCAAATTGAAATATACTTGAATTTCTAACTGAAATATACTTTTTAAAAAGAATATGTAGATGCATGACCTGAATGTCCTAGTTTTAGAATGTAATCAACATTGCTTACATTTGCTGTATTACTGCTAGCTGTATACATTCTTTGGCCCAAAAATGAGTAGGAAAGGATACAGAGCTGGTTGTACTGGTTCAAAATGCAAACTTTTCCAAGGTGATATCAGCTACGATTATACTGTGGGGATCAAATGCCACCTCTCACCCCTCACAGATTTGTTGTGTGGCCCAGATGACATACTGTGTACTCCTTGCACTGGAAAGACCATACAGATTACACCCCTGCTTTGAGGACAGGGTTGGGGTGGTGTCAGTGAGGAAGTGGTATGGGATTGTGGGAAGGACTGTAGGTTTTGGTGTCAGAATGACTTCGGTTCACATCCCAACGTCATCTTTCTGTGTAGCCTTGAGGTGGACTTCTGTGCTTCCATTGCCTTATGTGTAAAGTGGGGATAATTTGCTGTCTACAGAGGATTGTGTGAGGATTAAATGAGTATGTGTGGTGCCTGGTAAGTAAGGGTTGGGACTCAGTGTTAGCTGCCATCATCATCTTCATTGTAGCTGTTGTGATTACAATCCCAGACCCTCTGCAGTCCTGGAGCAGCACAGAGCAGAGCTGAGGTCACTGCCCATGACAATCTTTATACTTTTTTCCTTACCTTATTGCATTTACACTTTGATTTTTTCTGATTCCTTCATTTATTTATTTATTTAGAGACGGAGTTTTGCTTTCCTGCCAGGCTGGAGTGCAAAGGCGGGATCTTGGCTCGCTGCAACCGCCGCTTCCCAGGTTCAAGCAATTCTCCTGCCTCAGCCTCCGCAGTAGCTGGGACTACAGGCGCACACCACTATGCCCAGCTTTTTTTTTTTTTTTGTATTTTTTAGTAAAGATGGGGTTTCACTATGTTG